AAAGTACCCCAATGGCGAAGTTGAGAGAAGCCAATGCTGTGGTGCTGGCAATTCTAATACGGTAGATCTTATTGGGAAGGACACGGAGGATAAATGGTGCACATTGTTCACTCCCTTTCAACGCACATTGCTGCAATGTGTTGTTATATTTGGCTGCAATTGAACAATTGAATTGACCTCTCCCATTTATCAGCAAGCTCTGTAAAACAAAATATAATAAATAAATAATTAAACTTCCAAAATCGACTCCGTTATTTTCAACCTGATTAAGACATGTATCCCGACCATAAGGTCGTGGGTCCAAATCTACTCTCGTATGTGCTGTTACACACTTTAGGTTGATGAACTAGACATTAATGGTAAATTTAAGCCATCTATAATAGGCCTTTTAAAGTAAATGCTAAAGTCGTATATGTGAGAAGAAATCAAAGTTTAAGTTTATTCAACTCATAATTATATGTATTTAACTTATAGATTTTATCAAAATAATGATTTTTTTTAGTTTAACATGCGGGTGTGGGGGATCGAACTCACACCCCTTTGTTGAAGATATATATCACTGAACTATATTCGCTTTGGCATCAAAATAATGATAAAGTTATCGAAACATTTTGAACTTTTCAAATAAATTAAAAAGGAACAAAACTTGACTAGTTCCCACTTGGTTAAAGATTAGTTTAAGTAAAAAGTAATAATAATTAATAAAGCAATTTGAACCGTATATTTTTTAACAAAAAGTTTTAACTCAAAATTAAAATAATAATAATATAATAATAAAGTAGAGTACAGCTAAATTTCATCGTGAAATACAATGGATAAAGAAACGTGGGGTTGAAGATAGATATATATGATTTATTGAATACTATAATATTTTGTCCAAACACATCATGACAGCTTTTGTTTGGACATGTACTTTATAATAATAAAAAATATATTTTTCTCAAAAAAAAAAAATATATATATATATATATATATAATTTTGAAAAGAGAGCATCTTTTGCATATGGTCCTACCCACCACATTCTCACCTTGAACTTTTACATCACAAAAATAATAAAAATAAAAATAAAAAACTTACACAATAATAAATAAGAAAAACCATATTTCAAGCAAGGAAGAAATTTAGAGAGGCTGGTAGGTATTTTTCAATATGTTTTATTCTGTCCGCCGTGATCAAATAAAACATATACTTTCTCTTAATATAAATATATGACAAGATACTGTAAATCTAAATAATTAAAACATTTATCCTTGATTAAAAAAATCTAAGGTTCAAATCTCTATTCCACAGAGATATTGAACTAAAAAAAATTGACAGAATATATGTAGATTGATTGGATGTGATTAGGTGTTCGACTTAAAAAAAATTAATTAATATCTTTCACTAAATTATGTTTAAATGTTATAAATTTCTCCTAAGATATTGTCTTCCAAACGGTTAAATTCTAAAATTTTAACCATCCTTAGATACTCATGTTTAAATAATAATAATAATAATTAGAAGCAAATGATATTGTCACATTGAAATGTCAAGCAAAAGTTAAAAAAAGGCACCATAATTCAAGGAAGAAACCCAGAGAGAGAGAAGAGAGAATATTTGTGTACACTTGTGTAAAGCAATACACTTTTGAACATTGAAAAATCTAACTTTTCTTTCATGTGGAAAGAAGGAAAAAGAAATATCATTTCAAACAGTGATGAGTTCAGCAGTGCAGATTAATGATTTAAAATAATTGATATTAATAGAAAAAAATATCGAGATCTCACCTTTACTGAAATATCAATATACGATATGCAAGCATGTTGCGGATAAAAAATTATGAAAGGAACAAAAATATATTTGTATGAAATATAGAAATATCAATATAGAATATGCACCCATGTTGCAGATAAAAATGCATCGGATTTGTTCGATTTCGACATGTCGGTTGATATTTTATCTTTTACCTGGGGTTCGCCGATCCAACGAAACGGGATGGAACTGAGGCCGACCTCTTGTCTATGAACGCTCTGATGCCACCAGTCACTAAGCAATAAGTTAATCTCTTCATCATAATGGAATGGCTCTTTCTCTCCTTCTGCTGGATCTACTATTAGAGATCCATATAGTCCTGCAGATCTTTGCATTCCTAAATGGCCATGATAGAAGAACGTTCCCGCCTGCACGAGAGTCGAAACTTATCCTTCTGACGACAGAAAAAGAAACAAGAAAAAAGAAAGTACGGCCCCAATCTCACCTTGTCAACTACGAATCGGTAGACGAAGGTTTCGCCGGGGTTGATGGCGCATTGCGAGATGGAAGCAGTGCCATCAGCCCACGGAGTTCCGTGCTGAAGTATCCCATGCCAGTGAATGACGACGCCCTCGGTGTGGAGCTTGTTGGTAAGCTCGACAACGACGGTGTCGCCTGCATTGGCTCTGATCGTCGGGCCGGGGAACTGGTGGTTGATTCCCATAACGACGTTTTCAACGCAGTCCGGGGACCAAAACATGTACTCAACCTCCCATCGATGGTGTCTGATTTTGGAGCCCTCAGACAAAGCTCCAAACGCAGAGATCAAAACAAAGAAGATGACCAGAAAGGGTCCAAGAAATGGCTCTGCAAATATTCCCATCTAAAAAAAAAAGAGGGAAATGGGAGAAAGAATTGTAAACAATGAGTAAAAAGGAAGAACAGAGAAAAAAGTTGATGGGCGAGGGATGGCACATTGGCTCTAGTGTTGGGCTCCTTTTTATAATGGAAAATTTAGATTCTAGAGGCAGTCCTCTGTGTTAGGTGGGGTGAATTTTACTTTTTCTTTTTTCCTTTTAACGGTCAATTTCGACCGCAGGTAAAAGAGATTCAAACTTACGATCTCATGTGTTACGAGATACTAATCAGGACTCACTTGATAACATTCACGTTTCTTGATTCTGTTTTTTCTCGAAAGATAGAATCAATTGCATACCCCAACCCATAGATTAAAAAATGATAAAACAGTAATTTTATTTATGTTTTGGAACAAATTTGAAACGGGAGTAAAAAAACAATAAACTTGATTTTGTACGAAAAACTAGAAATATAAACGTTATCAAAGGAGCCTTGAATATTTGACCAACTAAATAGTGTTCAGGTTGCATATATTAGTAACTGTTTCGATCCCTCCTTTTAGCCAAAAAGTTGAAAGTTCGAATCTTCACCTCACAAAGATGTAATTTTAGGTATCAAATTGACACAAAAGCTCTTCTATTACAAGAAAACAAGTCTGTCTTTTTACCTGCTTTTTATGCTGAGAAATCTGGCTCTACAACATGCTATGCTTACACTTTTAAGGAAATTGGATCAAAATTTGCTTGTTTAGTATAATATATTACAAATACGTTAGAAGAAATGGTTCCATAAGAATTATATAATGGTCACGAGAATATGAATATCTATTTACTTTCCGTACTTTAAAATAAAAGTTTTTAATAGATTTCTCATCTTCAATTTTTATATTTAAATGAATATTTTTCATTTGGCTTTATTTATCTGAAATTGCATCATCAAACACTTAAACATGTCCAAATAAATCCGACACATAATGTTAAAATTAACATGAAATTTTTTTTTAAGTACTGAAACTAAATCAAGGAAACTTATAATTTAATCATTATAAAAGTAAATATCATTTTTTTAAATAGATTGATAATAAAAGTAAAACGCGTTTTTTTTTCTTTTTTGGTTGTTTAGGCTATCAAAGTAGGCGGCTAGGTAGCTATTTTTTTTTTTTTTATTGAAGATTTATTTTACATTCGTTTCGCACGTGGGAAAATATGTATGGATTAAACCAAGGGGCGGGAATCCAGTGGTTGGCGGCTCACAAAAAAACTTTTTTTAGTCAAAGGATGGTCAAATATGTTACATTATTACACATTACGTGTTAAATTAAACGTCACATCCTTAGCCAAAATTAGGGCTCAAATCCACCCTAATTAAGATGTAATTATGGATGATATGTTTGGTGATTAATGAATTTTTTTATGTATGATTTATTCTTTTTTTATACGATAATTTGGGGTTATAGGGATTGAATCTTCGATTTCGAATGAAGGAGTAGTACATGTTAATTATACATGAGCGAGCTATTGGTATGTATTATTATTCTTGGTTTATAATTGCTCATCTCATTTTATAGTTAATCACAGTTAGTTCAGGGTTTCTGTTCAGTTTGCTACTTTGGTCTCGAAACTAATTATCATTTTTCCTATATTTTTAATGTAATCCTGAACTTTAGTACAATTTTCCAACATAGTCAGCCAAGTAGAACAAATTAGTTCATTGTCATGTATTTAATATGGTAATAACGTGTAGCGATAAAGAACGAGACCATAAGAACAAAATTTAAAATTTTAGAACTATATGTGTTAGATTAAAATTGAACTAAACCATTAGGACTAAATCAAAAGTTAGTCGTAGGACTAAATTAATAATTTATTTTTAGGATGGGTTGCAAACACGATAATCATATTAGGCATAAAATAATAGAAACGACAAGCCTAACTATAAAATTTTAATTGACTTGATTGAAATTTGGTTGATATTCAATATACTAGTTTAAAAAAAATCATATTTTAAAACAAAATAAAAAAAAACTATGAATTTTAATTTGTTTTATTATTTTTAACTATGGATCACATGCTATATGTTAGGCTATATATGCACATATGTAATGTTATGGGCATTCTCTTTGGACCACTCATAATATTTATGTATATATAAGGTCTGTTTGGTAATGTTCTCATTTCTTGTTTCTTGTTTTCAATTTAAATCTAAACATTTTGCAACTAACTTTGTTTTTTGTTTTTCCTTATTTTTTAACATTCTCACAATAATATAGAAATTTTGGGAACAACCAAAACAAGTTTCTTTTTCCTGGTTCCTATTTCCAATTTGTTCCAAAACATAAATAAAAAAATATTGTTTTATCATACTTGAATTCATGGATGTTTGAGCCATGCAATTCATTTTTCTTCGTTAAAAATAAAGCAACAGAAACAAGAAACAGGAACGTTACCAAATGAGTCCATAATGATGATCTCGATCTTGTAAATCTTTATTTTTTTATTATCATAAATTGGACCAAAACTTACTTCTATCGAATTTTTATAGTGGAATTCATATTTGATCTAGATATTTCTTTTACAATACAACATTAAAAATTATAGGGCATGAGAATTTGAATCTTAGATTAGGTTAATATTTGATGACTTAACCATTGGATTATGTTTAAGTTAGCTTCAAACGAGATATTTTATATTCAAATATTCAATTATCTATAATATATAATACCTCATATATTTCATCTTGTCTACATCATGGTATTAAATATTCATGGATTCGATATTAGCATGAGGGATAAATCGACTGTTCGACGAGAAATTCAATAAGAGAAAACTCGAATTAATGAACTTGTATTTGTATTTATGTGGGTGTTACAATCTCTAATGTATAATCCTCTGATTAATTCTCTCAAATGTAAATTTTAATTCAATGGCTCGTGAGCTTGTTATTGAATGGTTGATGTCTTCCGCTTCTCGCTTGACGAAGGATCTTTGAAGTCTTCGGCTTTGAGTTTGTTTGAAGACTTTGACTTGTTGATGAAGTTCTTTAGCTTGTAGCTTGATGAAGACTTTGTGAAGTCTTCGGCTTTGCGCTGGTGAAGTTCTTTGACTTTGCAGCTTGTGAAGTGTTTCGACTTTGCAGCTTGTGAAGTACTTCGACTTTGCAGCTTGTTGAAGTTCTTTGGTTTTGTAGCTTGTGAAGTGTTTCGACTTTGCAGCTTGTGAAGTGCTTTGACTTTGCAGTTTGTTGAAGTTCTTCGACTTTGTAACTTGTGAAGTTCTCCGGCTTTACAGATTGTGAAGTGTTTCGACTTTGCGTTGCTTGTTGAAGTTCTTCAGTCAGTTTGATGAAGATTTTGCAGTTTGATGGAGTCTTCAGGTATTGTTGCTTGGGAAAGAATATTCAATGTTCTTGAAGTCTCGTACTCTTCAAATCTCGAATTTTTCAAATCTTGTTGGCTTTAGATGCTTCACTTGACTTCGAAGGATTGTAGACGCTTCTGAGTGCTCTGAATCTCCAATTCATCTATATCTCTTCCAATTCTTCTTCCTCTTGGCTTTTTTTTTTCCAAATGAGATGTGACCCTCCCTACTTATAGAGTATTTGTGGGTCTTATATGGGTCATGGGCTTGGGCCCAGTCTCATCATGAGTTTTGATCCAATTAATTGATTTCATCGGACAACTATAAAAGAGACACGTGACACAATTTGATTTACTGATTTAAAATTAATTTAGGATACGTGTAATTTTACTATCGGTCCGAAATATAATCTTAAATTGTGACGTGGCATTTAGTAATTGGCCGAAATTTCTGTTTCAACATCGACATTTTCATAATAATACAAAAAGAAAAATCGATAAAATATAAAATGTGTCAACAAAATCTTACTAATATAGATGTAATATTAATATCAGTTATTTTAAACTTATTGAAAAATGGTGAAATACTCATTTATGAATTTTAATAGTTTTCACGATTTTTTTTAATTTTTATAGGTTTTTCAGAAATATCTATAGACATCGGCATATTATCGATATTTCTATCGATATATATAATGAAATTAAGACCTCGACATTTCCATCGACATCAATACTTAAAATTTTAAAACTTGCATCGGATCTATTCCCAATTTTATTGATATCTTTTTTAATGAAAGAGTGGGACGTGAAAGTTTCCAAAGGATAGAAACATGCGAGAAGGGTATTTTTGGAAATGTGTTCACGAGAAAGGAATATAATTGTATGGTCAATATAATTTCCGTACCACTTTTCTTTAATAGAAAAAAAAAATACTTTTGTTAAAGAATTGTCATATCGAAATTTTCAACAGGAAACCCAAAACTTGATTTTGGACATATTATTAAAAAAATAATAATAAAGTATCATGATTTTGACAGCACGGAAATGCATCTACATCATAATAGATGAGAAATTAAAAAAAGGGAGGGAAAAATAAGATTAAAAAAAACGTGTTCTTTTATTTTGTTAAAAAAATCCAAACATGATCGTCTCTTTTGTTGTCTACCGAACCATTTTCACCGGTTGGTCTTCTCTTAAAAGACGATCCTGATTTTTTAAGAAAATCAAGACATGATCGTCTCCATTTGTGGTCCACCGTCGTTTCCTCAAGAGATCGACCATAACAACGTCGACTTTTTAAGAAAAAATAAATACTATAATATATTATATATTAAATAGTAGAACGATGTATTGAGTTAACGGTAGTGTTTGTTGACCCACTTTTCTTCCTTTCCTTTGCAGGTTGAGCCTTAAAAAGATCATTTTTCTTTCTTTTTACTTGTTATTATTATTTTTTAATTACATTTGATAACCAATATATTATTATTATTATTATTGATGATAAATATTACATTTTATATATTATATATTATTTATATTATTTTTAACAAACTATGTATGTATGTACTAAAATTATATTATTTTTATTTTTATATTTATATATATATATTATATAATTATTATAGTTTTCAATAATAATAATAAATGGATTAACATTAAAAAAAAGTAGTAAAATTTTGACCCAGTTTTCACCCTTTTCTTTGCAGGTTGGAGCCTAAAAAATATCTTTTTTTTTTTCCTTTTTACTTATTATTATTATTTTT